TACACAAAAACTGACCCCTTAAAATAAAGTGTGGAACCTGTGTTGATTCCCAGGAACTAATGTGTACTTACACTGAAAATACACAAAAGCTGACCCTTTAAAATAAAGTGTGGAACCTGTGTTGATATCCAGGAACTAATGTGTACTTACACTGAAAAATAGATTAAAATTGACCACTTAAAATAAAGTGTGGAACCTGTGTTGATACCCAGGAACTAATGTGTACTTACACTGAAAATACACAAAAACTGACCACTTAAAATAAAGTGTGGAACATGTGTTGATTCCCAGGAACTAATGTGTACTTACACTGAAAATACACAAAAACTGACCACTTAAAATAAAGTGTGGAACCTGTGTTGATTCCCAGGAACTAATGTGTACTTACACTGAATTCTAGTCTTATTTTAACTTGCTAATAATGCAGGTCCATGAAAATTTAAAAAAAAGTTTTGATTTTTTTTTAGCTGACAATTTTCAGATAAATAGGAGCAATATATTTTTGAAACTTTTACAACACAACAAAATTTAGCTACTTTAATTTTGAGGAAAAATTACCTAAAAGAAAAAAAAAAAAAGCTGTGCTCAGGTCACAAATGATTTCACTTAACTTTGAACACTTTTCTTTGTATATATTTTAATACAGTAAACTGTTAAATAAAAAGGCATAAAATACCCCAAACAATCAAATTAAACTAGAAATAAACATTATTTTTAGCTAAACTTGTATTTAATTGGCAGGAGTTTCCCACTCTTTTTTCCTGAGGTAATAGAGGTTTTCATCTCAGTTGTCAAGGCCTCTGAGCACCTCAGGGCAAAATCAAAAAGCTTCTCTTGCTGAGGCTGGAACTGGTGGATGGAGCGATACACTTCTGGGTTGATCATTTGAATCTCAGCCACAACTGCAGTGAGGGCAAGGGTGTTTCTGTCCACTCCGACTTTCATGAAAGCTCTTGTCATGTTTCCATACTTTTTGTATGCACGAAGAACTTTTTTGTATCTCTTGAGAACATCATCTGGACACTTGGCTGTTGAATATAAAAAAATAAGTAAACCGTTTGTGGTTACACTTTATTTTAAGATGTCCTTGTTACAGTGTTATTATACATTTAAGTACTGAGTAATACTAAATAGCTACAAGTACTTACTATTAGATGGTTAGAGTTTGGTTTAGGTTCAGTTGCATGTAATTATCCATAATTCATAGTTATCACTATAGTAGCTACATTTAATGTGTAACAAGGACACTAAATAAAGTGATACCCAGTTTGCTAATGCATTACAAATTATACAAAACATCCATAGGCAGAGGGTGAACCAACTCTAGGGTAAGATTCCTCCTTAAAAACACATTCAAATAGAATGTCATAAAATAGTTCGGTGTCTCCTATCAACAACCTACACATCCCAACATAAACGCTCGTTATTAAAGTGGTTATGTTCACAAACCATTATAATTTGAACAGGCAAGCATATGCATGATTTGGAATGGCGCCCCCCAACTCTGCACATTTTGTATGCATCTCTTATCGCTTCAGAGGTTTGTTCTATTCAACCACAAGTGCCTTGTGAAGAAAATTTCGCCATTGTTCAATTCAAAAGGCATTACAGTGCGCGAAACGTGAATTTACAAAGGTATATTTTGTCACACTTCACACTTCTTTAGTAAGTTTCGTCTGTGTGTGAAGACACGGAATACCATGAATCAATGTTTTCTGAAGTGAAATAAACTTCAATGGATTTCCCGTGCTCGGAGAGTAGGGAGCAGTGAACACTATGTAGGGATGACGCTGTTAATCAGAACACAGTTCATGCAAGGGGCTCTCTTCTAACGAGCTGATGATCTGAATCAGGCATGTTAAAAAAGAGACATCCATAATGTGCAGAGCGGGGTGGGGGCGCGAGGGCTGGGATTGAGAACCATTGGCCTAACCATTGCCTTACCTAATGCAGCAAAAAATATGTTTTCTTCAAATTTTGAGTGGATTATCGCCTAGAAAGTGTACATAAAAGCATTCCCTTTATAATCACTAAGCTGTCACTCATCTTAATTCATTGCAATCTCACAAAATTCTGCTAATCAATTAAGCTGGCTGTACAATGAATATCTTATTTAGCCTACATTACGTCTACACTTTTTTGTAACAAGTTAAATTATAATGAGAGGATTTGAGTGTGCAGATCTCAGCACTGGACAAAAACTGCATTTTGAGTGGTGAGGGTATTCTAACTTAAAGGGGTCATATGATGTAATTTCTTGTTTTCCTTTTTCTTTAGTGTGTTATGTAGCTGTTTCTGCATGTATAAGATCTGCAGAGTTACAAAGCTCAAAGTCTCAACCCCAAAGAGATATTCTTTATAAAAGTTAAGGCTCAGCCACGCCTTCCTAAAATGCCTCGTTCAAACACGCCCCCACAAATGTACGTCAGTCTGTGGGGGCAGAGTTTCATAACACTGCCCAAATGTATATGCAAAGAAATAAGGCATAACTTTTATTCTCGCTGCAGTGTTGTTGCTGCCGGCATTTTCGCCCGTGGCCAGCGGAATGGATAAGCCTTCCCCAACCTTCCTACACACGCTCTGCATATGAAAACATCATGCAAAATCATCTTCATCAAGAAAAAATTCACATTAATAAGTGTCTTTTGAATTTACCTTTTACTGTAGAACTGGAGAATTCAGATCTTGACCTGTTCTTTTGGGTTGTCTTCTTTTTTATTTTTTTTGCTGTATCTTTCATCTTCCGATGAAGATGAAGGGAGGGAGGAAGATGATGAAGAGGATGAAGAGTTTAACTCAACACTCTCACTACTAGTGTCCTTCTTCTTCTTCTTCTTGTTTTTCTTTTCTTTGCCTAAAAGAAAGATTTTCCATTAAATTAATTTGTCTGAGAGGTGGCTGTCACCTTTAAAGGGGTCATATGATGCGATTTAAATTTTTCCTTTCTCTTTGGAGTGTTACAAGCTGCATAAAGAAGATCTGTAAAGTTGCAAAGACTAAAGTCTCAAATCCAAAGAGATATTCTTTATAAAAGTTGAGCCATAGTCAGTTGATATGGACTACGTTGACGAGAGTTATGTAGTAATGCTCACAATGAAGCTTACTGTCACGAATCCAGTCTATGAACTTCCGTTCACTCACCACCAGAGGTCACGTGCTCACTACATTGACTCTCACACCACACAGACTGTTACATGTCACTCCGGACTACAGTTCCCATCATCCATTGCACTGATTACACACACACAGCTGAATCCAATCAGACACGCTTTATAAGCCCTGGACTTCCTAGTTCAGATCGCCGAGTATTATTTGCGTTTATCGCCCTCTAAGTGGTAGCACTTTACGGAGTCAGTTTCCTGTCCTAGTTTTCTGAATCTAGTTTAGTCTTGTTTTACCGGTGTCTTGATTCCAGTCTGTTTATCTCATCCTGTCTGTCAGCTGCCTGCCCTGGAATTATTAGCCTTGAGGGCATTAATCAGCCGCTCAAATCATGTTTAATCCGTGAAGGTCGGCACTCATCTCTCAGTCAGTTTTTGGACTATGCTTTGTTGACTGTTGGTTGAACAGTCAATGTGGGTGTCGCGGAGGAACGCGACCCCACACTCACTTGTGTAATGGCGGCCACACTAGAGCACGCTCACAAAATGGTGGCGACAGCGGAGTTTGATCGCCAAATGGCGGACGCAACAGCACCCCATTATGTCACAGCTGCTCTTTCCGCGAGGACCGCAGGAAAGATAGTTTGCGGTTTGATATTCAGATTTCTTTTGGCTATAAATACACAGTGCGCCGATCGACCACGCCCGCTTTGGATTACGATTGTCTTGCCCTCGATATACCTGTGTGCCATTGTCTGACCCTTGCCTGTTTTGACCATGTTTAAGAATAAAGCTTTGCAAATGGATCCGCACGCTTCCTCTGTTCCCTCCGTAACAGAATACTCGGCCCACCAAGGATCCAGCAGCTTCTCGGATGAACATTGGCCAGGTATGGACACGACAAGAATATTGTTAGCCCTTATACAGGGCACTCGATCGCTGGAAGGCTATATTCAAGAGTATTTAGCCATCGCTCATTATTCAGATCTGCCGGACTGTGTACTCATAGACTTTTTTTGTGAGGGCATCAATGAACC